AGATTTCTGAAAAACATCTAGGTGTTATCATCAACAAAAAAACCACGGGATTTTCATGATTTGATTTTCGAACTCTGTATTCAGGAAGCTCTGTGGCACATCTTGATAACTTGGAACGGAAGATGGGTTCATGAACCAAGTGATCCAGGAATGAAGGACGCATGCCATAACGCATGACGCCTAGAAGATGATGCAAATCTTCCTCCCTAAGTGGACCTATACATTCAAGCATGAAATGGATTTGCTTATCAATGTAAGTCCGAAAAAAGCGTACCAATGAAAAAAGTCTGGTTGGTTGGCCACGCTTGATAGGTGGATGAAGACAAACAAAGGTAGTTGATTTTCAAATAACAATATATCTCGAACTAAAATTTTTTGAATTTTGTTCAATTTCCTTGACCATGAAGATGTAGAATTTCTAAGTAATTCCATTATAAAAATTTCATCGAGTATCATCATTTCTACAAACTCATCCTTATCAAGTNGTAATTCCATTATAAAAATTTCATCGAGTATCATCATTTCTACAAACTCATCCTTATCAAGTTCAACAGTCCTGCATAACAATTTCTTGCCTTTTCTTCCAACTCTTCCAGGGCATTGACACATATACACCATTGACTCATTTCTTTGTTTGAAAAATCTTGTAGGCACGTAATTTGTGCCTTTCCATCATTTGTAGGTGCTTTTTATTAGGGTGATAAGGACCAATTACGAGAATTTCGGGTTCATAAGGTTCAAAGGGTACCGTGGATGATGACAAAGCAAGTTTTTCAAGGATGCGAATTGATAGTTGGGACATTTTGTTTCCCTTCGAAATCAATATTCAAAAGAGTTTGTCAAAAGAAACTATATTTCTCATGCTGCAAGACATAAATAAAATGCCGTAAAAGTGAAATAGCTCATAAAAGAGTTTGCTACAGCCAAGATTTTATTCGCTATAGGGTGCAGACTGCACCGTGCAGTAACAATTATATTTTTCTGAAGCAAAAAATTACTAAAAAGAAGGAAATTGAAAAAGTAAATAGACAAATCCTCAGATTTTATGTATCATTACATATATAATGCTTTTCTTAAATAACCTTTATAAGCAAAAAAAANAATTGAAAAAGTAAATAGACAAATCCTCAGATTTTATGTATCATTACATATATAATGCTTTTCTTAAATAACCTTTATAAGCAAAAAAAATTTCCTTAAAAAATTAATTACATGTTCAACTAGTATTTTGCAAATTAAAAATGCAATAAATATGCCATATATATAAATAAACAAATTGAAAAAAATAAAAAACAAAAAAAAAATCGGCGATTTCGTTATTTAGAAATAACTAAACAAGGAAATGTGATGACATAAGTATGGTGAACTGCCAAGAATCAAATGTAAATATGTTCAAAACTCTCACACAATAATCAATTTCGTATTTCAATTTTTGAGGAGTTACGAGCAAGAGTATTTTGGGCATAAGCACAACAAAATAAATCTTTTCTTTTCGGTATGTTTAATTAGTCCTTTACTCACAAGCCATTTTGATACACAGTAATATGAATTTAGTACCAAAAAATTCTGAAATAATTTCTAGGAAAAGGACCCTATAATAACTTGGTATCATACCAAAATATCAATTTACATGTTCCGACATGTTACGATCCAATAAAAAAAATCCTTTCGATATGTGTAATTAGTCTTTTACTCATAAGCGATTTTGATATACAACAATGTGAATTTAGTACCAGAAAATTCTGAAATAATTTTAAGGGAAATATGCTATAATAATTTGGTATCGTACCAAAAAATATTTATGATGTATTACAACCCAATGATATCAATTTACAATTCAAAAATTTGGTTTCAACTCAAAACAACCAAACTCGATCCTATATTATGTCGTAGCTTAACTGTGTTTGGTTCGTTTCTTGGCAAAACGCAACTTCTGAGTATATTACTGAAAATTTAAGAATGCTTATAGAATCAAAGAAAATGCTTATGAAATTCTTATACAACTTACTTATGATTTGCAAATGGGTCCTTTTGCTTCACCCGCTTCGTCTTCCGATTTGATTAATTCAAAGGGAATGAAAAAAATGTTGTGTTGATGGCAAAACAAGTAAAGAGGGGCCATTAATTTATAATGGGAAAGATTCATTTCCTAGAATGTAAGTAATACAAGTGGAGCTCTCACTGGAGTTTCTTTTACAAAAGTGAAAGCAAGAACAATGAATAGCCATAAGCCAACTCTGTTCCGTGGGTGTTCAAACATAGATTCTATGCCTATTTACTACAAAATTCTCTTGCACATTATCTCACTTATAGGACGGTTGTATGAGATTCAGATTCCGTTTAATACCCTTTTTCTCTCTTGGAAGATCATTTTTTAGGAATTCAAGTAATATGTATTTTTGTTAACAATTATTAACATGATCCAATAATTCGATACAACATCGATATGAAGTTAGTGGTAGTAGATTTAGCCTTACTGGGTTTAAGTTTTAGGTACCCACCAAACCCACTTAATGAATGAGTCACCATAAACTGAGCTACACACGACAATTACTTAGCTAAACGCACGTGGTTTATACATGATATGAATCTGCCACAACACATGACTAAAACCCAACACAACTCGTCCAATTGCCTTCCCTCAATCCATTGTCTTCAAGTAGGTGTCCTACCAAAAACACATTACGAAACATACCTTTAAAGAAAGTAAAAGAAATGTTCTTTGTGTATTACCACCATATAATACTCATATGGGCAGCTTAGGCAATATCAAATTATGACTCAAATTTTTATTCGTATAGGATTAAAAAACTTGATTTAATACAAAACATTCTAAGTGGCAAACTCAGATTGCTGCTTAAATCTTCTAGAAAAATTTTCCTATTCTCCCGAGTGTCCATTTTCCTCATCCAAAGCTTTTATATCTGTTACATTTTCTATAGTTCTTACCCCCCGAAACCTCCTTTCGTTTTGATAATCACTTCACTAAATCTCTTTTGCTTACTATTTCCATAGCCGTTTTAGTCTTCTATCAAACTAATTTTGTAGCAGTATTACTATACAGAAAAGGGGTGAAATCTGATTGATAGATGCATAAAGGGTGAAATACGTCTTTTTAATTGTTTATGAAAAATATATGTAATAATAAGATTTTAGAGTGTATACCTTAGGCCCGCGATAAGGTTGTCTGATTATGACCTGAATGCTAAGGGTTTAGGTCATCGAAATAACCTTTCCACATGCAAGTAAACTTTCATACATTTGACTCTTCCCAATTTACATAGTGTCGGTAGCTTGGTGCCATGGCTCGCATTTTGTTTTTAATTTTGTAATGATAATATTCAATTTACTACTTTTCTAGTAATTATCTAATATATTATGTAATGTCGGTTATCCACTTATAGAGTCCTCTCTAGAAAAATTAAAATTAGAGAGAAAAATTCTGAGTGGAAGAATAATAACTGTCACAAGCTAAGTAAGTTCCCTTCATTCCCTTACAGAAAATTAAGAGCAGGAATAATAGAGGACAAAAGCAAAGAATGTTTCCCTCGATGAGTTCTTTTCTAGAAAAATACAATAATTGTGACAAGGCAAGTATGTTCCATCGGAAAAAGTCTTTAATGACGCATCTATAATAGACTGAGTCCCACTCCTTGTAAAATTAACTGCTATTTAGCATGTATTAGAAATGTACCAATGTACGTTGCATGTGAATAATTTCCGTGCACAAAAAATAATAGAACATATTAGGTATATGTGTATATGAATTAAATATCATCTAATATTTACTAAACTTAGTTTTTCATTACTCATATTCTATTTAAGATTATGAAAATTTTGTACATTTCCAAAATTCTTTGTTCTAACTATAAAAAAAAAAAAAAATTAAAGTTGTATTTTTTTTTTAGAATTTTATGACTCTAATCACATTGAAACCTTATTGTAACTAGGAATTAGTTATTAATTGAAATAAGATTTAATATACTACGCAATAATATATATTATCAAGCAAATTAAAATTCTGAAAAATTCAAGTTTTACTTAAAAATATACTACAATATCTATGTTTACATAAAATCTTAGTACAACTTAAAAAGTTTATTGTGATTGAAAAATTATATTAATATAACATAAATTGATTTTAAAAAACTATACATACGATTATTTTTAATCTTAGAAATGAAATTGTTAAACTTTTCAATGAAAAGGAAAATGCACATATGGAAGCATAATGTTATCATTGCATATGAGATCAATAATATTAAATTGATGGAGTTTTTGAAAGTTTTTTGAACACTTTATTGAAAATATAATGGTGCATATTTTTTTAAGGGTAATATAATCAATTAAAAAGTTTTATAGAATTACTGATTGTTATATATATAGAATAGATAATTAAAAGAGATGTTATAGATAATTTAAAGATTTAAATATATAAAGATATGATAGTAATTTAGATGTTTATTTGTGAAAGGGTAAAATGATTTTTGCAATCGTTTATAAAAGATAAAATAGAGATTCGAAAGTTTTTCATTTCAATGTACTTTTATTAACTACATGAGATCTCACTCCTAAGAGATGATCAAGAGCGTTTGCCTTGCTCAAGTCTTGTGGCATTGTCATATATAGCTGACTTGAACATTGGAAAGTTTAAGAACCGGTACCACATTGGTGTCTCTAACCTCTCTATGTTCTTCTTGATCTATTGTATGGGCAATCATAATAAGTAACACAATTCTCAATAAAATGAGCTATTTGTCTGCATTAACACGTATCAAATTTCAAACTAGATTGTCAAGAGAAAAGTAAAAGAATGTATGTTAAGAAAAAATAATTATCGTGAGATGTTAAAATTGAGTATCTATCAATTTCATAGAAAGCGAAAATATTCCCAGAACAATGATTTGCTCTTTAGTGGAAACAAAATTGCTGCTGAAATTAAACTAGCAGTATAAGAAATTAATCGAATAGAGCACTTCTACATTACAATTTTTTTTTATATATAAAATTACAAATTCTTAAAACATTCACTTGACTGATGAATCAGTACAACTTATTTATACATGACATTTAGCTTTTATTAAGCATACAAACATGAAGATGTGGGATTCACTTAGCATGAGGAAGAATAGAAAATACAGTCTGTGTTAAAGTGAGAAAAAGCAATAGAAAAGCAGCAAGAAATGATATGATTGCCCATGGAGTGTTGAAATAATTCCTCCTCAGATTTGCCATCCATACATTCCGACGATGCCGGCAGTGCACGTTCACATCATCGAAAACTTGGGAGTAACAGAATTCATACGATGACACAGCATTCTTTGCAAGCCTTGTCAACATGGCATGATCTGCGTCATCGTTGCCTAAAACATCATTAATAANACACAGCATTCTTTGCAAGCCTTGTCAACATGGCATGATCTGCGTCATCGTTGCCTAAAACATCATTAATAATTTCGCAGTGACGAAGCAACTCAACATCCTTTGAGGAATTGATGAGACAATGCATAACAATGATATAATCAGTTACGTATTTGGGAGTGCTTGCTGGATGATACTGCTCGTATGCAATTAGATTTGCAAAGAGAGATTCTGTCGAATCATCCAAAAATAAAGGTGGGATTTCCAGCACCCCTTTGGTGAAGCTAATATCCAATAAACTCGTAGTCCTTTCCTTGGCCTTCTTTATCTGAATTCCGGCTTCCTGGAGCACCGTGGTACAATTTATGAAACCATTGAAACCACCAACATTTCTAAGGGGCACCATTTCAGCAAACGAAGAACTCATACAATAATGTGCCAGACCNTGGTACAATTTATGAAACCATTGAAACCACCAACATTTCTAAGGGGCACCATTTCAGCAAACGAAGAACTCATACAATAATGTGCCAGACCAAGTAGATGCTTAATATCTTCGATTCGGATCGAATCCAAAGCACTATGCCGTATAGTTGCACCATAAAAGCATAAGGCTATTAAAGACTGGGCTAAATCNCCATTTCAGCAAACGAAGAACTCATACAATAATGTGCCAGACCAAGTAGATGCTTAATATCTTCGATTCGGATCGAATCCAAAGCACTATGCCGTATATTTGCACCAGAAAAACATAAGGCTATTAAAGCCTGGGCTAAATANATCCAAAGCACTATGCCGTATAGTTGCACCATAAAAGCATAAGGCTATTAAAGACTGGGCTAAATCAACGACATATTTTGGTTCGTGGCCAATCATGCCGGCTAAGTGAATTAGGATAAAGAATGGAAGTTGATTTTCAAATAACAATAAATCATGTCGTAGGCCATACCGAATGTGATCAAATTCGAAGACAGAGTCACCCACCTCTCCTAGTAAGTAAAAATCCCTGTAACTCTGAAGAAACTCGAGGAGAAAGCAGCCATCAAGAAGCATCATTTCCACAAAATCATCTTCACTAAGGTTGATTGATTCTGCATAATATTTGCGTGCTTTTTCTTCCAATTCTCTCATGGCTATGATGCATCTGTGGACACTGGACGCTCCCGCTTTTCTAAGAATCTGTTGCACATACCGTAATTTCTGTTCTTCCGTCTCCTGCAAGTTGGGGTTTCCACGGTGATAAGGACCAATAGCAATTATATCGGGTTCATAAACCTTCATAGTTGTCTTGCGGAGAGGATTATGCACTCTGAAAAGGTTACGCTCACAGGGTATTGGAGATAAGCGAGTTAGCTTTTGGTCTATAATTATAGAGAGATGATCAGCACTTGGGTCGGACATGATTTACTCCTTGAATCCAAAGGTAAGTTCCCTGTAACAAACATGTTTTGATGAATGCATGAGAAGATTGTTGATTTTCTAAAGCCTAAAATCAAATGTTATTACCACACCATGACACAATTTGATAAATATTTTCCATCGAACAACTACTCAGTGTGGGAAAACTACAAAGTTAATTGCTATTAGTTTTGGACATGGAGCACAGACACAGGATATGGCTGGGTCAAGAAGTTCGACCCCTGCAAATAAAAGAACCTAACTTTTCAAGAATAAAAAATGGAAATTGATTTTCCAATAGTAATAAATCACGACATATGACTGTTAGAATTCTTGAAGATTGAACAAGCGCATTCCACTTGTGAAATAATTCAATGTCTCCCCCAAAACCTGGTCATGAAGCACCATTTTCACAAACTCTTTGTTGAGGCTACTAGATTCTACATAACATTTTCTTGCCCTCTCTTCCATGTCACTCAGGGCCATAACCTATTTATCCACACTCTTCTCATTTCTCCGTTGAAGCAATAGTTGCACGTACAGCATTTTGTGCTCTTCCATCTCTTGCAAGTTGTCTTTACCATGGTGAAAAGGATCAATCGTAATTATTTTTGGTTCATAGGCTTTCTCATTTTTAATGCGTAGTTTGTTGTACACTTTGAAAATGCAAGGCTTTGATGGTGTAGGAGGTAAGCAAGCAAGCTCTTGGTCTATACTTAAGGCGATGTGGTCAACTGTTTGAGACATCTTTGGCCTGCAGAAGTAGAGTCCATCTTTGTGTGGCCTACATGCCAAAGAATATGCTAAATGCTAAGTTGAATGGCCATACCTAAGATCCAATGTGAGGAAGCCAATGGTGGTAATTTATCATGTATATGTCTAGCTAAGTGTAGGTTTGTGAAAACTAATCAAAACTGCTTTCATCGAAGGCATAAAATGGACTTCTAATTACCATAAGGTAATTTTTTATTTTATTTTTGCATTTTTTAGCATTTCCACAAAGAAGATCTCGTAAAATTAAAATTTTTTTAGTCAAGAAATATACAAAACTACAAACTTCTTGAGAAAAAACAACAAAAACTTGCAATAAAGTGATCTGCATAGCTTTATAACACTAATGGCAGGTTTATCATAAGTGATCTCCACATGCAAATAGAGAAAGAAATAGTAGGGTAAAAAATAAAAAACCCTCTTAACTAAGTCTCGACCTTACTTCTCCCCCTATATTTTTATAACTTGCATTTAACTTCCTCCAACTTGTGAACAAACTACAAATTTAACAGAATCTGTTTATTATAATGGCGCGATAATTGCATGAGCTAATTAAGTGCGTGTTATAAAATAAATAAATTTTTTCCTAAATTAAAAAATTAAATTATTAATTTTACCCTTCATCTTTCTCTCTCTCTCTCTCCTTTTTTTCTCTCTCTAGACCTGCAAATTCATTTTTGACCCATCAAACGACTTCCTTTCTCAAAATTAAGGTCATTTTTTAACTCATTGACCCCAAATTTGTTAGACTCAACCCCACTTTTGAAGTTTAAACAAGTTTTTCAAAGTTTTCATTTTTAAGTTTTCAAACCCTAGTGAGTTTCTTCACCACACACCGCGGCCATGGCTTCTAACCACTCCAATACCCTGTACTACAACCCCATAACACAACTCAAGCTTCAATTGAGGAAGAAATAGTCGTTTGCTATGTAACTCATTTGAAAATCCATACCACTTTAAGCTTAAAATACAAATTCGAGCACACACATAATATGAAACTTAAATCTAATCACACCAATCAAATTCTCATGGAAAAATAAGTCTGACCAGGTTGAGTTTATGTATTATAAGTCTTTGAATCAAAAACCTAAAATTCTCTATCTCTTTCTCTCTCCCCTTCGTTTTGGCCTTCTTCACAACTTGCAGAGGAATTTGTGAGGTGTAGAGATAACAGAGTTGGAGGTGAGTTGTGGTGATGGGGAGCAACTATAGTGATAGAAGTGTGCTAGTTGCAGCTTTTTTTTTTTTTTTCAAAGATAAGGGTTCTACAATGATACATCACAAAGAAAATTGGATTACAATCAAGGGGTAGTTTAACCTTTTTGTATAAATTGTTATCTCTATTAATATTTATAGTTTGTTCACAAATTGGAGAGAGTTAAGTGTAACCCGTAAAAGTATAATGGGTAAATTGAGACCGATGATTAGTTGAGAGAGATTTTTTGTTTTTTAGCCGAAATAATAATCTTGTACATATAATTAATTTATAGGATTGGGTTTGGATTTTGAAGAACTTACCATGACATGCTTTTTCAGTCCTCTAAGGGAGATATAATGTGAAAAATGGTCTCAAGAAAGAAGAAGAAAAAGCAGCTCATGATAGCAAGGAGCTAGAAAGTGATTAAATCCTAGACATGAGATGTCGTAATTACATGGTTTCACACTGCTGCGGAGTAGCATTCTGGCGAAGGAATTCTCTGTCATTTTCTTTGTATTATTCAAGCTATATTACACTTTGACCCCTTCTACTATAATATTAATCTCACTTTACTTTTGAACAATTAAATTTTTCACATTCTCTTCTATTACTTGAATTGGTTTTAGATTACCTAAAAAGCAAAAGTTTGTTATCTTAAAGATGGTTTAAATTCACATATCGGGGCAAGTTCAAACATAATCATTTAATTCGGAAGGGAGGGCAAAATGAGATGTCTTTCCCTCAAAATTTCAATGGGCATTAATTATTGGGAAAATACTTCAAGGTCGTAGATGAAAAATATGATAATTTAGGGGGTAATGTAAGACATAGGCCATAGTTCAGAGTGTTAAAATATATTTTTCCCTACTACTCGTAATGCCGTTGAAGTGCGTTCCGGTTAATATCTCCTCGGCCTTTTTATATGGATAATTTTATGTTCATCAAATTTGTGCACCAAAAGTGTGCACTAAATTATTGTCAAACGTTGGATGATAGTGAGTCCATTGATCCAACGGTTGACAATATTTGGTGTACAAATTTGGTATGCATAACATTGTTGCTCTTTTTATATATCCACTACAACAATTATGGGCTTTGGTAACAAATTTTTTAGCGACCAAGTTATTTTTATCATTAATAATACCTTTTTAGTGATAACATGTGAAGTTGTCACTAATGATCTAGGATGAGTGACGACAACGTTATTTGTCACAAAAGAGTAATACTAGACAGACTTAAAATTTAGACTTAAAATATAGACTTACTGATATAGCTGTTATGTGTACCAGCTGTGTCATCAGTTTCAAAAAAAAAAAATCTATTTTTGAAAGAAAGATCAGATGACTTAGCCGATTATCTCCCCTCGTCTTCTCCCTTCCCTTTCACGGTTTCACCAAACCAAACACCGCCGGCCAGCCATAGGATTTCTTTATCAACTCCTCCCTACCCTTTCCCTACGCCAAAACTTGCCCACTCAGAAACCAGTCTAATTAAGTTTTCACAGGGAACTATGATAGGAAAGTCACAAAAGGACATCAAAGACCTCCCCCAAGAGCCTTATTGCTGTAGCTAGGGTTCCACCTTATGGTATTTCGAAAAACCCTTGAAGACCTCACCCAAGAACCACAAAAATCAGTTTGGCTTCGGATGTAGTGAAACAATCGGCTGTTCAATTTCTTGTTAAACAAAACGGTCTTCAGCATAGGGGCGAAACAATCGGTTGTTGTCATTAACCAGTTCGGCTTCGGATGTGGCTATGGAGAAAACCCAATTTATTGGGTTCAATTTTTTTTAAAACAAAAAGGGGGTAGGGAGGAGCTGATAAAGAAATTCTATGACTGGCGGCAGTGTTTGGTTTAGTGAAAGGGAAGGGAGAAGACGAGGGAAGAGGGAAGATGATCGGCCAAGTCATCTGATCTTTCTTTAAAAACAATTTTTTTTTTCTTTGTTTTTTTTGAAACTGATGACATGGCTGGTACATATCAACAGTCACATCATCAAGTCTATATTTTAAGTTTAAATTTTAAATCTGTCTAGCATTACTGGTCTCAAAAAGTTAACTTTTAGTGATGAATAATTGTTTGTTGTTGTAACTTCGTCACTAGAAGTGTGAGAAATTGGATAAATAGTGAGGAATTTTATTATTGTCACTCAAAATGATAAACAATTACTTTTAGTAATGAGATTAGTCGCCTCTGAAAGTTTCAAGGTTTTGGTGATAACTTTAATGTTGTCACTAAAACACTAATGGCTTTAGTGGTGGCTTTAATGTCATCACTAGAACTTTCATAGTTTTAGTAACAACATTGGTGTTGTTATTAAAACATTTATACTTTTAGTGATGATTGTCAAGTTGTCACTAAAACTTTTATATTTTTAGTAACTAAATTAATTATGTCACTAAATATAATTTAATTTATGTCACTACATTGGTGTTGTCAAGTGGCTTATTTTATGTTGTTTGGCAAATTTCAAATTATACCACATCACCTCCTAACCTACAAAAAAAAAAAATGCTCCTGTTATTTCTAGACTAAACTACACCTTAATTAAGTTTGTTAACAAAATTCTGAAATATCCTTAATACATTAAAATAGTAAAATCATAAATTTATTTAATTTAAATATCAATACTCATAACAAAACCTAACTAGTATAGTGGTTGTAAGACAAGTTGAAGTCAACTCGAGTTAAATCAAAAATTTTAAAACTCTCAAATTGAGCTTAATTCAAAATTTTCAATGTCAATCATGGTTAATTTTTAAAATTGGATGATATGCAAGTAGTGGTGAAATTTGAATCAAAATCGACTTCAATTGAGGATTATTTTTGAGGTAGATAACATGGATAAAAATTCATGTTGAAATCCAATTTAATTTAAGTTTGAATCTCAAGTTACTCAACTAGGGCGTAAATTTGATTTCAATTGGATTGGATCCTAAAAAGTAGAGACATAAATTGAGTAATGTTTGATTTTAAATTGGGTTGATAATTTTTTATCCAAACTTTGATCAATATTGATTTTTTTTTTTGGG